TTTTTTTGTACTAATTCCTTAAATTCGCTAAAATGCATATTATTAATAGAGATAATAAAAAAAAAATGAAGATATACTAGCGAAAAAAATTGTCCTCAGTAAAAAGAAAACCAGAGGAGAATATGCCTTGTTCTTGGCGACCGAACGTGCAGATTTCAAAAGTTTGAGAATTTATTTTAATAAATCGAAGATTAGTATTGAATATTAATGACAATATCAGTGACAGAAATCAAAAAAGTGTTAAGGAAAATATATAGATTTCACGAGAATACATACGTTGAACATTTTTGTGATAAAAAATAACTATTATGATATATATATATATATATTAAATATATTTTTAACTTTTACATCCCAGTAACATTATCTAAATTATATCTTTCTTCGAAAATCTAATTAGTAAAGCCATTTCGTGGCTGGCTTGGTATGTATGAATATTTTTATTTTATTTTATTTATTAATTATTTATTTATTATTTATTTATTAATTATTTATTTTTTATTTATTTTTATTTATTTTTTTTTTGTTTGATAGGATTAAAGATTTGATTGATATTTTTATCGATATGATCGAAAATTTTCAATAAAATTCATAATTTTGTTTAGAGTTTTTTTTGCCAAATCAGAAATTTTTTGATCGCAAAGGTTCTGATGTTTTTGGCGACAAAATTTTGTGACACAATAGAAAAATTTAATACTATTGGCTAATATTATTGAATTGACGCGCTTACTTAGATAAAGGCAACTAACATTTCCTTCTCCCCTTTTTCTCTTTTGCTATCTTCTGCCTTTGGTTTTTTTTCCTTTGTTTTCTTCTTTTATATCTTTCCTTGTTCTAATTTCCTTCCAATAAGCTAATATAAAATAGTTAATTAACCTTTAAAGCTTTTATTTTATAGAAGAGAATAAGTAGTTATTTGATATTTATATATATACAGGATATTCAAAGATATTTCTGTATTTTTATGGAATTATGATGACAACTACGAAAATATATAAGGAAACAAATATTGGTTTGTAAAAAATGACATAAAATAATATAGATTTGAATTATTATTCCTTCTTTTTTTTTATAAATATTTATTATACATTGTTTTTTTTTTATAAATATTTAATTATACATTGTTTTCCTTTCATAAATTTTTACATTAAAGTAAAATTAAATATAAAATTTATAGAATCTCACAAACAAAGAGAGATGAGAAGTCACAAAAGTCACAATGTTCAAACAATGAAATTATTTTTAATGTTTTATTTTCATTTTTTTTAGAATTCTTATTAATTCTTAATTGATAATTACAGAATTAAGAGATATCTGAAATATTAGAAATACCGGATTTTTTTTTTTCTCTCAATATAATTCGTCTTGTTCTTGATCCTGTTTATTATATCATTCTCGATCATTTGTCTGATATCCGATAATTAAATAATATTTTATTTCACGATTGTAAAGTTTTATTTTAAAAACTTGATAAAATTATTAGAATCGTAACAGTACAATTCATAAAGTATAATTTATGTTTAAATTAAATGTAAAAGTTGTCTTTCCGTATTTCTATTTAAAGTAATTTTTAAAATATGGTTATTGCTAATTAATATATGGCTTTGACATCACAATCAATAATTTCTTAATTTTGTTAATTAACTATCTTGTTTTCTCAACTTATAATCTTGTTTCTCTGTTTGCACAATTAATATTACATGATATAAGTTATATTAGGTTTAGTCCTTTTAATCAAAACACGTATTTGTTTTCCCTCATCGATAAAAATAACTCATGAACAAGTGATAATCTCGAATTTATTCCTTAAAGTAGCACAATTTTCAATTTAGGTTTAGCTTAGTTCAAAATGCAAGAATTTTATCTAAATTGTTTAGTAAATGCTAGTGGCTAATTTTTTCATTATCAATCTTATTTCAATTAGGAATTGTTGATTTTTTTACAATAAAAATTATTAGATCATTAAAATCATTAAACGGTCCATTTTTATTATTTTTTTAAAAAATCATCAGTGCCCTACCCCGAATGTAAGGATGTACCCTACCCTAAAGCATGAGTATTCTACTTTTTATCACATGTAAAAACTTCACATTATCCCAAAAAGTGTTAATATATTTTTTTGTCGTAATAGAAATAGAAATCATAATATGATAAATGAAGCAATAATTAAAATATAATTTTTTTTTTCATGGCAAAGCGAAGTAAAAAAAAAAAAAAAGTTTCAGGGATTGAATTGAGGAATAAAAACAAGTTTAGATTGAATTGAGGGATAAAAAAACAAGTTTGAACAAGCGTGTATCATATTAAGGCTGCAGAATAACTTGACCTAATAGAAACTTTAAACTCTCCAAATCACCAGACCTGATTTGAATGCCTATTAATCTGCGTACAATTTTATCTTGATTATTTAAAAAGAAATAATTAATATTTCGAATATAGAACAGAGAGTTAAATCATTACAAGTTTTTTTTCATTCATAAAGATCACTTTAGAAAACAATAAATAAAATTTAACAAAACTTCAACATACCACAAAACAATGCTCTATTTGGAACAGATATAACGAGAAAAAGGATTTGGGTTAGATCAGAAAATCTTGACATTTTTAGTATTAATAGAAAAATGGAAAACGAAAAGATCAGATAACCACATGTTTTATAAATAAGACCAATTTTGAACAAGTTTTCCTGCGGATATTCAACTTCGAACTTTAATTATAATATAATAATACAATTATTGTAACTATTTTTAAGCATATAATCAAAAAAAGACAAGCATTACATAATTGATGAAATTTCTTTGAAATTTCTTAAATTATCAATAAAGAAAATTCCGAATCTAAATTTTTACAAAGACTTTGGTAATAACGATTACTTTGAAATGACATACTATTTTAAAGGTAAAATGATTAAAAATTAAAAAACAAGAGTACTTAAATAAGGTTTAATTAGGTTTAAATTTGGTATATGCAAAATAATTCATTTATTTATTTTTTTAAAAAAAAAAAAATAAAAAAAAATAAAATTTAATTGACAAGAAAAATTAGAAAGATTCGAAAAACGCTTTGCAGAAGAATTAATTAAGAAATCGATAAAAGATTTCAAACAAAAAAAAGAAAACAAGACACGTTAGATTCATAATGTGAAAGAAAAAAAACTTAATTCTCGGGAGTATTAAATTAGAATCTAAATGACATTAACTTAATTAACATAGTTTGTTGTTTATGCTTACTGTATATATTTTTTACGCGTTTGTTTCTTCGCTTTCAAAGGAATTAAAATGAAATATATTGTTAACTTAATTACAATAATCATCATTTAAAGATCTAATACTGTGGCTTATTAATCGTTTTCCGTAAGAACGATCTTCAGACATCCGACATACAGATATGGAGATATTGCGTATGTGGAATTTTGTGGTGGAAAATTGTCTTTCGGAAAATATCATCCGTAACTTTTTTCTAAAAAACAAAAGGATTATTAATATCGACTTTCTATTTTTAGGATACGCAAAAAGTATAAAAAGTGTCAAAATATCTTCAGGATATCTTCAGGATATCTTCAGGTCTATTCCACATCTTCGACCTTTCGAGATATGAATAAACATTCTTTAAATTAGTTAACGAACAAATTAGAGATCATTTACGTCCTTTACGATCCTAATGCCAAAACAAAAAAAAAATAAAAGTACGAAAAGTCCGAAGACCAAAAAACCTGCGAAAAAGACCAAAAACGGAAATGCGTTCTTCGTTTACAGAACGTTATTAAGTTCAGGAAGTAATAGAATGGAAGATCATTCCGTGATCGCAAGTAGAGAATGGAGTAATTTGAACGAAGAACAAAAAAAAATTTACTTTGAAATCTACGAATTGGTCGTCAATAAATATTCAGTAGATACGAATGCGGATGGTCATCCGTTTATCACTTTACAATATAATCCAAATATCAATAAAGAAGAAAGTATCGAATTCAACTACTCTAATTTAAAAAGAATTTACGATATGTTGTCCGAAAAGAAATCTTCAACAGGTTTCCAATCGAATGACAACACAATGGAAGAAATTCCAACAATACAAAATGACAATCTTACAATTAATTATCCTTATTATTACGATCAAACGCAAATCATTTCGTATATCAATTTTATCGATCCATATAATTCGTATGATGATTATTTCTTTTTTTCATGAATTTTTCAGTTCGTCGTGGCAAATTTTGTTACATTTAACGTCTTTCATTACGTAGCGCTGCGATTTATTTTTCGAAATCGTTTATTATATTTTTTATTATTATTATATTTTTTTATCCTTTTTTTCTTGGTGGAATGAAATTGAAATACTTCTCTATTATTATACAAAAATCGACATTTTTTTTTTCGGAAATATAAAACTAGAAATATTGTAAAGAAATTAATACATAAGGAAAAATGTTACATATTATCTTAATAATTATGAATATAAATTGTATACAATATTATGAAATTTTAAATTTTTATGAATTTTCTTTTAATTCAATGATTCATTGTAAACTAAAATAAATTCCCATTAATAATTATGAAACTATCTAATTGATGCCTAATCCATTGTTTTATGTATAACTGTCGTCATTTGTATAATACTTCTAGAACAATAGAACAATACAATATTTGTGAAATTGTATTTATAGACTTTTTTAATTGGTTCTTCCTTGCATTTATTTTATATACAAACCAAACATTTGCGATAAACCGTTAGTATTTGGTTTATAGAAAAACCTTTTTACGGGTTGAGCGTGGTAGGCCACAACGCCAGGTTTCCCTGACTCAGGTGTTTGAGCAAGATGTTTCTTGCTCCGTTTTGATCCCTATCAATCTTAAAACCACATGAATTGCGTTTGTAAATTTTGTCAACATGTCTTTGATGTGTAATCTTTTTGCGTATTATTAATATTCTTCCCGAATATTCACACATCTCGTGTTCTAAAAACATTTTAAACCTGTAATGAGCCCAGGTTATCATCTTTCTCACGGTTTTGCTGTTGATTTTTCGTTACATCCTGTTCGTCATTTCTTGGATTTCGAATTTCGGAATTTGTAATTTTCACAAAGATATTTTGCAAATTTCTTGTGACAATCATCAATTAAATTTCTTTTTTCATTTTTCTTTTGATTATGTATCTTTTTCTTTTGTTTATTTTTTTTTTTAATAAAGATTTTTCGGTTTGATATTTGTCATATCCTTTAATAACCTAAATACCTTTTGGATGTCATTTTTTCCGCATTCAATTATATTTCCTTTTGGATCATACCGGTCATAAAGGTGCGAAAACCTGGATCTAATGATATTATATCATTATTTTCTTTTGTAATTTTTTTACACGATATTGGTATGCAGATATGAAATTCATTTAATTTGTCTCTGGCTATCTTAAATGAATGTTTAATAATTGGTAATTTTTCTGATGTTTTGATACTTCTTAAAAATGAAAAATGTTTGCTTCTTTGTTTGTAAAAATCTCTTGATTGTATCTTTCCCATTTTCTCTTGTTCTTGATTTGATTTCAAATCTTTTTTCTTACTTTAAATTTGTATTATATGCTGAGTAGTTCATTTAATGCCTCGTCTCTTATACCATCTGGTGTTTCATTGGTTTTGTGTTTCAAACACTACAACTGATAAAAGATCCTCTGTTGTGGTGTCTGGATCTGATATTTTGAAATTAATGTCGAGAACCGGCATTGGGTTTGTTGAGTTCATAGGATTGTCAGAATCTGGTGACCACAACCTCATCGATATCTCCCTGGTATGTGTGTTCCAGAATGGATATCGATCAGAATCTCTTTCTACTAGGAATGGTAATGTACGAGACCCTACCATCTTCTGAGGGTTGTGCATGAGACATATGTTTTTGTATAATAATTTTTGTATAAGTAGAAATCGGAATTTAACTGTGTTTAATCAGTTAATTGCGATTAAAGTAGTCTATTTAAATTTAACCGGTTAAAGTTTATAGTGTTAACCGGTTAATTGGTTAAATTTAATATTTAAATGAAGAGAGAGGGGAGGAAAGAGAGAGGGGAGGAAAGAGAAAGAGAGGGGAAAGAGAAAGAGAGAGGAAAGAGAAATAGAAAGAGAGAGGAAATAGAAAGAGAGAAGAAATAGAAAGAGAGAAGAAAGCGAATAAATTTTTTAAAATATATAAATCAAGTAATTAACCGGATATTTCAATGTCTAGAGTAAAGAATTTAAAATTTAAAAAATAATTTGAAAAAATAAATTTAAAAATGTATTTATGACATACTGGAGTGTTAACATAAAACGATACGTTGTTGAATTCTCTCCATTATAAAAAATTGCAATTTTTTACTATTTGATAAAATCACGGATACATCTGAGTGATCTAACTGACTTTGTTTATAAATTATCATTATTATTATCAAGTTTATTATTTAACAATTATGGAATCATAATTTTCTATTCGTTGTCCAATTTTGTCCTCTAATAAATTTTAATAAAGGTCTCGACTATTTTATCGTTATTATTATCAAGTTTATTATTTAGCAATTATGGAATCATGAGTAAGGTAAAAAATGGGTTTTCTTTTTATGTTAAATTTTTTAATAATAATTTTTTTAAAGAGAATTCTTCTCATTCTAGTTTTTTTTTATAATTGTGAGAACATATATAATAAATATACTGTAAATTAAACAAAGAATATTTTTTACTTTTTATGAAATGTACTTGTACCTTGCCAAAAATGTTCTTATTCACAATAAATTTTCTTCTTTAATTCGGTCTAGCCGAACCCCTTCCCGACTCATCAAAGTCCTGATATTGACGATGATGATGACATTGGATTGTGTTGAATACGAGTAATAAACACACTTGGATATGATGTAATCTTCAACCTTCTGGCTGTAAAATGTAAAATAAATATGTCAAAAACGTGTGTTTATAATGTATGTTAAAAAATGTATGTTAGAATGTATGTTTTAAAATTAACGCGAAATAAAAATCAATTGCCAAACATTATTATATAATAAATACCTTGTTGAACTATGGGCTGTCTACGAACATATTGCAACACGTCTATATCTTCCATATCAAATTCCTCCATCTCTCCAGAGATTTGATCTGAATCATAATAAACATTTTCTTGATGAAGTTGTATCTCTTGTTGATGTATACTCTGTAATTGTTGTATATCTTGAAATTGTTGCTGTTGCTGTTGTATGTCTTGATGTAATTCATGTTGTAATTCATGTAATTCATGTTGTTGTAATTCATGTAATTCTTGCTGCTTTGTGTTCTGTAATTGATGCTGTTGTATGTCTTGTAATTGATGCTGTTGTATTTCTTGTAATCGTTGTACATCTTGAAGTTGTTGCTTTGATTGTATATCTTGTAATTGTTGTTGTTGTTGTTGTTGGATATTTTGCTGCTGCTGTTGTTGTTGAAACTGTAAATCTTGTAATTGTTGTTGATGTAGTTGTTGTAATTCTTTTAATTGATTATTATATGCATTTATATAATTCTGGTCACTATATTCGCTATAATTATTAAATTTAATCTGTTTAGTTGTTCGTGTGCTTTTTCCATTTGACGAATTTATCGAGTTTTTACGAGATGATTTAACATTATTTAAAGTGTTAACAGTATCATTCGAATATCGATTTTTATGTTTTTCAGGAATTATTATTCCTCTGGTTTCTGGATATTCTCGGGTTTTTCCTTTTCGTAATTGATCAATTAATCTTGGTGTGGATCGTCGTTGAAGTTCTGCTACTAATGCTAGAGAATAACGTGAATAGTTTATTGATTTTCTTTCTGATTCTGGTGTTGAAAGAATTTCTGAATAACGCGTAGAGGCAACTTCTGATATTTCTGCTTGTGAATGTGAACTAGTATCATTATCTACATTATCTACATTATCTAAATCTTGAGTCACAAACAAAATAATAACAATTATTAAATTAAAATTATTAAATTAAATTATTAAGCAATTAACAATTTGTTTATTAACTAATCTTTTACCTTTATGCTCGAGTTCATTAAAAAATATTTTATCTGCTCGATAATGTTTACGCAATAATGCAGTATATATAGGACCGGAAATTGCCATTGAAGGGGTTCGAAGTTGTTCAAGATCAACTTGAGGCAAAGGTGGATGTTCTAAAAAAATAAAATAATGTAAAAATACGTCCATTTTTTTTTTAAAAAAAAAAACCTAAAGAATTGAGTATTATATCTATACCATCTTGTCTTCTGACGCTTTCATAAGGATATCCGTCTAAAATAATAAAAAATTAACGCAATTTAAATATTTGATTTTGCCTCCTGTAAACAGTCAACATGAATAATAAATCAATAATATAATAGAATGAAAAATAAAATAAAATGAATTTAGTACTGCACATACTTCTTTTAGCACTTGCAAATGCAGAATCATGACGAACACGACTAAAGAAATTCGTTGGTTCTGGAAGGTCCATAAAATTAAGTGGTCTACTAGTATAATGTGCGTCAGGATGGATTTTCAAGACTGCTGGATCAACGGCCAATCTATTAAGTCCATTTCCTGATGGTTTTTTTGGGTCTGCTTCATTAAAAGTAGGGATAATATCTGAAGAACGTTTTTGTTCTAAATTAAAATACCATCTAAATAACATTCCTGTAATTTCATTTATGTTAGGACGATTTGCCGGATCAGAATCCCAACACCTTTCAATTAAAGTTGAAAAAGATTTTGGAGTTCCTTCTAATAATGGAGGTCTAATTCCATTACAAATTGAAATTGCCATATTATAATTATGAGCAAGATTACTAAAAGGTGGAATTCCTGATGCCACTTCCCACATAACAATAGCTAAACTATAAATATCAGATGATGTCGTATATTCATCCCCTCGTAAAATTTCAGGTGCAACATATGGTAAAACTCCATGTAAAACGTTATCAAGGGAATTAGGTGTTCGACATAATCCAAGATCACTAATTTTAGTTTGTCCATTATTTTGTAATATATTACCACTATGAAAGTCTTTATGAATAAATCCAGATTGATGAAGATCTTGAAGTGACATAGAAATATTGAGTAATATACGTAGCCTTCTTTCCCAATTTAAAACTCGATGATTTTGAACGAGAAAACTCCTTAAATTTCCTTGATTTGCATATTCAGTTACTATCATGTAATCTTGAGTGTGTGGATCTTGAGTGAATCCATAAATTTTTATGGTGGTTCGATCTTCGAAGTTACTATTTTGAAGATATGCACGTATCTTTTATTAATTAATTATGAAAAGAAAGTTATAATATTAATTAAACATAATTGCAAAATAAAATGATCATAATAATTAAAAAAAAAATAAAATGAAATGAAATAATTAAGAAAAATAAAAATAATAAAAAGTTTACTTCATGGAAAAATTCTCCATTAATATTAACCGAATTATCAATGCTCTTTACGGTGACAGTTATTGAATTATTTCTACTCCATGTTTTATTCTTTCTATTCCAATGGGTTATATAACCGTCATTCCAAGTTGCCGAGAAAACAGTTCCATAACCACCTTTTGCTATGTAGTCTACATTATCTATTGACTCATAAGGTATCCATTCAAGAACTTCTTGATAACTTTTAGCATTTGATTGTGATTCTTGAATAAAATTATCAACTGAATCATTACCACTCGACCATTTATAAAAATCATTTTTAAATCTAGCAGCATTACATAATTGACACCATCCAACCTTTTTATATATATCAGTATTTGGTTTACGACAATCCCGGCACTTTCCGACCGGTGAGGATTTTTTGGCAATCGATGAAATATTAGGATGAAGAGACACATCTAGTGCTGATAAAACATCATCCTTCTCTTCTAAAATCTTTGGTTTACAACATTTAATACCCATTTTTGGAATGTATGCATCAATAAATAGTTTCAAATTTTACTAAATTTAATCTACCTTTTTTTTTGTAAAAAGAAAAATGTCTTAAAAATTCTCAAAATTAAAATTCTATTAAATTGAAAAAAAAAGAAAAATACCAGTTTTATGAAAATTTACAAAAATGATGAGTATTTTATATGAAAAATTTCCATATGAAAATTTTATTTTAAAAATTTTTTTTGGCGTTCTGCAGGCAGATACACAAAATTAGATTGCATATTATTTTTTATCAGGTCTAAAGTTTTTTTTTTTCTTACAAGGAAAGCTATAATTATTCCGAAGGAGAGCTAAAACCAAATGGAAAAGATCGGTCGCATAGTGTGACGAATTTATCTAAATGATTTTTCACTGCAGTAAAGGTATAAACAGATTAAATGCAATACCAAACATTAATCTGAAACGAACTGAAAATAGGAAATGCCTTTAACCTCTCTTATAAATTAACTGATTTATAAATGCGGGATGAGATAATAATATAATTTTTACCTAAAAAAGTAAATTCCATTGATTTGTTTATGTTTGATAGTAACTATTTTTAAAAACTAACTCTTTAATGTTTTTTTTTTTTTTATGTTTTTATCCAAACATTTTATAAATAAAAAAACATATTATTACTTTAAATAAGAAAATAATACCGGGTTTTAATATTTAATTGATATTCTTTTATGCGAAGGGAATTCTTATCCTAAGAACGACGCATGATTATGCATGTAATTACGTTATGATATTATTTATAATTTCATTGGGTTTTTAAAAAAAAATCAAATAAAGTAAGAACAATTGGTATCGCAAATTAATGAAAACAAAAAAAAAAAAAAAAAGAAAAAACAGGGTAAAAGAAGAAAAGAAAGTTAGCGTTTAATTTCAATTAAACCTCTTAATTTTTATTATTAATATTAATATTATGAATAGTATGAATAGAATATTATTAATACATTATGAATATTAAATATATTACGAATATCATTGAGGCCTATGAACTTTTGGTTACTTTAATGGAGGTTTGGTTAGTACTAAATTATATTAAATGAAATCTCTGATAATAAACTTTTTGACATGTTATATATTTATTTCAATGCAAACTGAAAATCATACATTTTTTTTTTTTTTACACATTGTATATTATACACGTAAGATAAAAATTTATTTATTTTAGACGCGCATGAATATGTGAAAGAGAATGCAAAAGAATGAAATTAATCATTTTCGGACGCGCATGAATATGTGAAAGAAAATGAAAAAAGAATGAACCTAAAACTTAATCTTTCACGTAAAATTCAAAACACTATAATATTTGGTCAAATTTCAAAGTAATTAGGAAAATCTTTATCCTTTCGAAAAAAAAAACATTTAAAACTGATTTGATATCTACTTTAATTAGGCATATTCAAAAAAAAAAAAAAAGTATTAATAGAAATTTTTATTTGTTTAATCAACCTAATTTTAAATATTGAAAATCTATTTTTATAATTTCAAAACGACTGCCTTATTTTGGATAACTTTCTGGTAAATTGGAAATATCAGTTTTGAAAGGACATTTTTTTATGTATCAAATGTAATGTCTCGCTACCAAAAAATAATTTACATTTAATATTTCCTTTCTCGTCTAATATTAGAAAATATTTAAATAACCATATAACCATATTGGGTTAGAATAAATAAGTGCAAAATAATGATTCATTATTCGAGGCAGTAAAAATTATTTTCCAAAATTATAATAATCCAAGATAAAACATATTTCGTTTTTCGTGTTTTCTCGTGATTTAACGGAATGGTATTACGATTACGAAATAATTACAAATCAAACATTAAAATTCCGAAAATGATATTGTGAAATCACACCATACACTATGTCTTTTTTTTTTATTGCAAGAATAATTGAATAATATATGATACATAATCTTTACGTTGTGTTTGTTGCACATTACAAGAGTTAATTATATTTATTATTTTTTATTTTATAAGAATTCTTAAAGAAAATTCTCTGTTATAATTTTCTTTATTTTTTCTTTTTTTTTTTTTTTAAGAAATAGACACCCAAATTTTTTATTTAAGTTATTATTATTATATTTAACTAATAATAATATAATAAAAATGGATATGGCATCTCAGATTCGTTCTCTATTCGATAATCCAAAGTCTGCTGATATCATGTTACGCGTAGATGGAAAAATTTATCATGGACATACTTGTATCATGATTGCCACCTCCGGTTTCTTTAAATCATTCTTTCATGTTCAATATAGACTTGATAATAAATATTCACTTTTTTCAAAAATCAAAAACAAAAAATCATTATCATCATCCTCCTCTTCTTTACATTTAACTCCTCAAGAAGGAGGAGAAGAAGAAGAAGGAGAAGAAGAAGAAGGAGAAGAGGAAGAAAAAGAAAAAGAACAAGTATCTAAAACTCCCAATATAACATTTTCAATGACAACCACCTCAAATAATGAATTTCATTTTCACGATTATTCATGTTCCACCACGAATGTGATTCAATTTTGGTATGAATTGAAAAATGTCAAAAATTGGGAAACAGACGAATCAAAAGTAGAACTTTATTATTCCTCCCAACATTTTGGAAATTTTATTGCTTACTTGTAAGTAAATATATATATCTCTATCTCTCTCTTTTTTTTTCAATTAAATTATTAATGATATTTGATGAATGTTTAATTAATATATATATATATATATATTTCATGTGTAGATATGGACATCCCTTAAGGTACAAAAAGATGAATAATTTATTCGTGTTAGCGTATTTGGCTCATAAGTTCAGAGTACCTGAATTATCAGATCATTGTGAAAATTTGTTGACTCAAATGGTATTTAACGGATTTTTTTTTTTTTTTTTTTCTGAGGGGATTATATTTATCTAATTATATTTATATTAAAATAATAAAATATTCTTTAATATTTATTTTAATACAATGACGTATATATATATATATATATAAAATACACACATAAAGTGGGATAGAAGGATGTGGAGAATAACTTTAAAGGTTAGCAAATGGTTAAGATTAAATAATTTAAGACAAGAAATTTTGAAGTTCTTATGGTCAAAAGGTGTAGATAAATTATTTAATTCACGTATATCAAAATTCATTGAAGAAGGGGATATCAAAGAAATTATTAAATTAGCTGAAAATGAAAAAGAAAGAATTTTAACTTCGGTTAAAGAAGAACAACAACAGCAGCAGGAAAGTAGTTGTAGTGAGGATGATGATGATGATGATGATGATAATGAAGAAGATGATGATGATGAAGCACCGGATGATGAAAATATGCAAGATTATTATCAACAACGAAATGAGCGAAAGAAAACTATTATGAAAACTACTATGAAGAATCGAGAATTAAATAATCGAGAGGAAAATCAAAAGGGAAATCAGGAGGGAGTAGTAGTAAATAAAAGAAGAATGGATAAAGATAATATTGTTTCAGATTATGACGAAAACGAAAAATTGTACAAAATTTTTTCCCGAAGAAATAATATCAAAAAGGCAATACAAAAACAAAAACAAAAACGAAGCTTAATGGATCCTTCTCACAATAATGTATCATTATCTGGTCAAAAAGGAACTAACGATAATAATTATTATTCATTACTCGATGATGAATTCGTTGAAGAGGAAGAAAAAAATCATGAAAGAATATCAAGAAACCTCATGAAGGGAAAAAAAGTGAGGAGAATCAAGGAGTCTTTAGTGTCTGAAGATAATAATAATAATAATAATAATAATAATAATAATAATAATAATAATAATAATAATAATAAAATTTTATATAAAAGATCTAAGAGTAAACAAAATTGTGCTTCTATATCACCAATTGATTATGAAGAAGATTATAATTTGACTTCAAACCAAGAACATGCACTAAAAGTTAAATCAAAATATAATAATAATAGTCATTATAGTAATTATAATAATATTAACGTTGTTGAATCTGACGTCGAAGAAGATAATAATAACAATAATCAATCGAGCAAGAAACGGAGTTTTGAAATTACAAATAGGAAAGGCAATAATGACGAGAATTATATTACTTCCAAGAAAGCGAATTGTCAAAAAGAAAAACGAAAGGTTAGGAAAATATATAATAATAATAATAATAATAATACAGAATTAGTCCAAGGAAAATGCAATTTTTCAAAATCCGAATATTATTATGATGACGCCCAACAATCTGATATCGAAGATGAATATTACAATAATTTATCGTCACCTAAAACGCCAAAGACATTAAAGACCTCAAAGAATGAATTATACAAAAAAAGAAATAATTTATCATACGAAATAACTGATAAAATCGATGAGATAAAAAATAAAAAACAAAATAATAATAATGATAATGAAGAAAAATTAAATTTATTAAATCATAATAATAATAATAATAATAATAATAATAACAATAATAAAAAAATATCATCAAAGATTAAACAAGTTGATATCACGAAATCACTTAGATTACAAATTAAAAAAAGAAATAATTTTATTCCTGAAATTCCTAATTGTAGACCACCTGGTGGATTAAAAAGAAATTTATCAGAATTATCAGATAGTTGTTATGGAGCTCAATCCAAGAAGCGAGTACATTGGAACGATTAATATTATATTTAAATTATATTTATTTATTATTATTATTTATTATTGTTATATTTATTATGTAAAAATGATTTATAATTTTACACCCAAAAAAAGAAAACATTTTTAAAAGTTTTTTTCGAGACGAGTAAGAATATAAATAAAAAATAAATAAATATTTACTAAACTAAATACCAAATATATACATACACACGTTAAACTTATCTCGGTTATCATAAGATGGGAAAGAGAACAAGAAAAAGAAAAAGCCAATAAATGCAAGAAATATAATAAATACAGGTATAATCTGCTGCAAATTAATTTCAGCACAAAAAAAAAGCACTTTATTCAAACTAATGGAGTTTGGTTTCCATGCAAGTCATGCAAGCCATGAAAAGGTTCTTTAGCTGATTGTTTTTTTAGGCAGTTTAAACATATTTTTTACTCCGTATCTCGTCTAATTTAATTGTTAAATTTCTTATTTTCGGAAAGATGGCTTTGTGACCAAATATGGATTATCGTGACACAATCAGTAATCCGCACAATCCGCACAATTCACAATTCCGAATTTACGTACAATTTATCGTGTTATTTTTTTTTTATTTTTATTTGATTTTTTATTTTTTCTTATTTCTTTCTCATAAAAATAACTCTTTTTTTTTTTTTTTTAACTAATAAAAAAAAATGAGTCAGGATTTTCCTAATAAAAAATTTCCAAATTTAATAAAATCTATTAAAGGTTTTAGTAATAAGAAAGATAAAATTTATTGTCAAAATCCTGAATGTAGCAAAATTATTTCAGGAGGGGGAACGACAGTTCTTAATTTTTGTAGCAATAATTGTCAATTATCAGTTGATAATGATTTTTTTGATCGACGCCAACAAATAGATAGTTATTCTGGTACTAATAATGATAGATTTAATTCTAATGGTTTGAATGGTTTGAATAATTCAAATAGAAGATTATTTTCTTCAACATCGTCATCATCAAGACAATCAACAATATTTAATAATCATATAAATGAAGATGATGAAAATGATTCATCAAAAGTTACATGCCCAAATTGTACATATTATATTCGAGACGGAAGAACAGCATGTGAAATCTGTGGTACATCTGTTAGAAAGGGAATCTTTGATAAAAAGAAAAAGAAGATTAATAAATTTATGGAAGATGATGATCTTTATTTTAAACCGAAAATTATCGATAGTAATAATTCTGATAATAAATCTAATAGTAATAGTAATAAATCTAGTAATAAAAGTTTTGGTAATAATCGTAATTTTAATAGTTACAATTTTAATAGTAATAGTAGTAGTAGTAGTAATAATAGTCGTAGTAATAGTAATAGTAATAATAGTAATTTTAATCGAAAATCAAAGCAACTAACAAGAAAAAATCCTTTTTATGTTGATGACGACGATGACGATAATAACGACGACAACGATGATGATGATGATGATGACCTTTACATTGTTGAATCAAACTACTCTGATTTTGATGATGATACGTCAAAAAGTGCAACAAATTCTAAAGGTTTAACAAAAAGTTCAAAAAGTAAAACAAAAAGTACATCAAATTTAAATAATTCAAAAATTCAAATATTTGGAGATCAAATTCAATGTCCAATATGTTTTTACTTAAATCACAATTTAATGAATAAATGTGAAATTTGTTATTCTGAATTGAATCCAGTTGATGATAATGATTTTTCATGGATTGCAGATATTGAAGAAAGTTTCAAAGTTGAATGTCCAACATGTTCATATTCAAATAATCCTAATGCCGCACAATGTGAAATGTGTTATTCACCCATAGATGAAAAAGAGTTTAAAGATTTAACGGAATCCGTTCAATGTCCTACTTGTACATTTATTAATAATTCATCATTAATAACTTGTGAAATATGTAATGTAGAATTACCTGGTGGAGCTGAATTAAAAAGAATATATATTGAACTTTATACTAATACTACTCGAATGATGATTTTAAATAAAGATGATCCTGATTATATTGCAATTTCGCAAAGATTTTTAGTTGGACTTCCTCGAGCAAGAATTAATGCCATTCTACGTTTACAAATGCCAAAAAAACTTGTTGATGCACATGAACAATATAAGCAACAAACTGGATTTCCTACTCATCAAATGTTTCATGGAACTAATGTGAGATGTAACCCGGAACGTTATTATGGTCAACCTGGATGGGAATATTGTAAAGACAATTGTGGACTTTGTGGAATAAGTCAATATGGTAATCTTTGTAGAGTTAGTAAACATGGAGGAAGTAAGTATTTTATTATTATTATTATTATTATTATTATTATTATTATTATTATTTTTATTTTTATTTTTATTTTTATTATTATTTTTTATATTAACATTAACAAATATATATGTTAATTATATTAATTTAAAAATTGAGGAATGTGGTTTGCGAGGCATTCTTCAGTATCTTTAGGATATTGTGGTAACGTAGCCATCAAAGCTATGTTCTCGGTTGATATTGTTTCTCAAACTGCACAAAATATTATAATTGTTGATAAAGAAGCTGTAATTATTTTATTGTTGTTACATCTTGTTTCGATGGATAATAGTGTTTGCATCACGAATTACTTTTAATCTAATTACTTATTCTTTATTCTCTATTATATATAGGCCACGCTAAGTAAATTCTTGATCTTGTACCAACTTTAATCAATCAGATAAATGATAAAAGAATAAAAGAGACTTGCAAAGAAGAAAGAAAATATAGAAAAAAGAAATAATTATTACGAACTATCTTTTTTTTTTTGTTTATATATTAATATATATATATTATCTTTTATATATATTTTCTTATATATTTTATAACTATATATATATATTTATAGTTTTTGTACATTTATACATATTATATAAATATATATATATTTTTATGGACTTTTAACTTTTAATTATTTTGCATAATTTGTACATACATATATATATATATATACAATAAATGAATTTTCTATCTCCGCTTCTTTTTTTTTTATTGATAATAATGACGTTTATGACATCAAATCAAATATTTGAATTAACTTGTAAATAAATAAATAAATAAATATATATATATATATATATAATTATTTAATATTCTTTCTTCTCAAATTACAATTTCACTTTATTTTGAATTTTTTTTTTAAAAAAATAAGTAAAAAAAAATGTTAAAATCGTCGGAATCCTCATTTACAATTCACGAACGAAAAGACGATCTCTTTGAAGATAGTAACCCCAATGACGCACTGGCTATTTGCGTCTCACAAGATTTTCGTATGTCACGAGGACTTCCATATGTTTTTAAAGATCGATTTAATGGAATTGATGAATTAAAAAGTCAAGATAAAAGAGTTGGACAAGTGGCTTACCTTTTACATAAAGAAACTGATTATCGTGATAGAATTATTAAATCAAGATATATTTTTTATTTAATCTTTAAAGAAAAATCAATTGATCAACCAATGAAAGTTGATTTTGAAAATACTTTAAAAGAATTAAGAAAGTTAATTGAAGAAATGAAAATTGAAGGAATTAGTATGCCAAAAATTGCTACGGGATTTGATGCTTTTAATTTGGAATACGTTAAACAAGCTATTTGTAAAGTATTTGAAGGAAGTAATATTAGAATTACTATGTATACGTTGTGATGTATCTCCCAAACATTCTCTTATACTTTCTTACTTTCTTTTCTTTGTCACTTTCTTTTCTTCTTTTATTCTTTTTTTTTTTTTTTATCTTTATTGTGTTTATAGAAATTGCTTATCTTTAAACATTATTTGAATATGATTTGCTTTAATGGATTGTTAGGTTTTGAATATCAAATATAAATATATTAATATTTATTATATTATTATCAAATCTGATACAGTATTATTAGAATTATTATAAGAAATTAATTGAAATTAATTGAAGAAAATAATTAAGCAAACATTAATATCATTGATTATAATCAGGATCCCAAATTTCTTTATTATAATTCTCAACCAATTCTGGATCATCCTTATAATTACTTTGCCATCCTTCAAATCCATTTTTAAGCACTTGAACTTTTTGATCCGTTTTAATGCCTTTATTGAGAAATAATTCTTCACTATAAATTCTGGCACATTTTGGTCCACGAGCTTTTGAAAGTGCACAAGTGAAAATTATTTGAGGAACTAATTTAAAAATAAAATAAATTATTAATATATTATTAGTATATTATTAATTTATTATTCTTAATATTATTTAGTATTATTAATAAAATATTACCTTTATTATATTCAGAAATCAGATTTTCTAAACTATCATGAATTTTGGAAGATTGTCTGTTGATGCAATTGGGAATATTTCCTCCCTTATTAAATAAAATTTAATTAAAAATAATTTAAGTAAATAATAATTAAAAAAAATTAAAAACTAAAAATAACTGTGTAAAAATAATAATAATGAATAATAAATCAAATTCACCTCATAATCATCATCACGAACATCCACCACTAAATAATCCTTTCCGGGAATTTTTGATTTATCTTTGATAAGATCTTTTAATTCATCGCGATTAATATATTCAATGGATGGAATGGTTTTTGATGACATTTTTGTAGTAGTAAAATATTGAGTATATTGAAATTTTAATGTCAATGAAGGAGACGAAGTAAAATGTGAAGAAAAATATTTATTATTATTATTGTGGTCGTTATTATTATTATAATTGTAATAGTAAATTGATAGTGAAGGTCGTGATATTAAAAAATTAATTATCCTTCCCCTTCTACTTCGAATTCTGATAAAGTTAGTCGACGATAACATTAATTATATATCGTTATATGAGTACAAGTGTAATACAATCATAGGAGTACAATCATTATATATATATGAATATGAGTAAAAAAAACTGTGGTTGGACATGGGTTAAAATACTTGTACCACTCATCCGGTCGACCTACTCCCACACCTTTCCGTAGGACCCCGTACAAGTGTAATATAATCATTGTAAATATGTGTACACAACATTCTCAATTTTTCATAAAATAAATTAATTCAAACAAAAATATCGAAAACAATATTAATATTATAACAAAAATAACAAAAATAATGGAAGAAAAAAAGAAAGTAGAAATTTATGGCTCAAGTGTTGCAGGAAACATCTTTGTATGTTTTATTCTTCTTCTTAACAATTTTATTATGATAATGATTTTATTATTATTATTATGTTGTTTATTTTTTCTTGTAAACCAAAAATGCTTATTTGCAAATTCTCATTGAATTTTTTTTTGAATTCCGTTCGTTGTAGGTTAAAAAAAATCAAGACTCAATCGAATTTATATTAAAAGCAAATAAAATCGAATTTTCTTTTGTCGATGTAGCAGCTGACGACGATAAACAAAAATATATGAAAAGAAAGAATGGAGGTGAAAAACGATTACCCCAAATTTTTGTGGGTGGTGAATATAAAGGGGTAAGTTTAAAAAAATTTTTTTTTTTTAATATTATTAATTATTTATTAATTATTTTTAATTGCAGTTAGTCAAAGATCTTGAAGAAGCAAATGAATTTAGAGAAGTAAAAAAATTTTTGGGATTAGAATAATTATATTTATTTAAATTATTATTATTATATTTAGTTATCTTAAATAGTTTTTCTTTTTTTTTGATATAATATATGTCAATAATATAATAAATAAACCAAAGAGCCATGTTTATTATTATTATTTAAGAAAATAATATCCAAATTTCAATAATAATAATTTGTATTTGTATTTTAATGCAACAAAGTGAATATTAATTCATTAAATATCTTATATTGTACCTGGGTACATTTCATAGGGGTATATTGCCCTAGTGGTACTTTGGCTGGTAGTTGCAGGTTGCTTAAAAAAAAAAATTAAAGTTTCATTCAATATTTTTTGAAAAGTTGCTTAATTTTATCCTACCTCTAAGAAAGATAGGAAATTGGTTATAGTAAAAATTGTTTAAGTTTTTTATATTAAAATTTTATTTTCTAAATATAGAAATAAAAATTCTAACCGTAAAATATAAAAATAGAAAATCATTATAATTTCACTTAAAAAACTGCCTTTAACTATTTATTACTATGATACGTCACGTGAATAGGAATTCCTAAGTTTTAATTGGCTAAAATTGTATTAGGTGATGCTTGACATAAACCATGAAATTGAGAAATATTTTTTTTTTACATAAATTGATTCACCAAGTTCCTATCTTAGAAGTTCATAAAACTTGTTTAAAATATTGTAGTTATACATGTCACCCAAATTAAATTTCAAAATGTCTTAATTATTTATGACACTTAACCAAATTCAAATTGAACAAAATTAACTTTCAACATCTCAAATAATTATGCATATTTTGGCATTTGTGTAGAGATTAATGTTTATTACACTTTAAAGAATTCTCTGTGAATCAAATCTCCAGAGGTTTCATTGACCTCCAGAGATTTATGCTCGAGATAATTTTTGTAAATGTAAATATCTGGAGATTTACCTCTGAAAACTTTTAAGGTTTACATTTCCTTCAGAATATTCTGAAGGTTTACATCCTATAAAATTTTCTGATGCAGGTTTGATACAAGTTTGATACCTAACTAATAACTTTTGCTAACCGTAATCACAAACCTCTCAAATTTACATAATAACTCGGTAAAACTTCTCATTTTGTCATTAATCACATGTCCTATAACCTTAAAAGGAGATAATCACTTGAATAGATTAAAGCATATAATTGTTAATAATGTGAATATCACAAATATGATATTCCCAACCAATAAATGAATAATAATAAATTCCTTTGATAACTGATTATCTTTATTTTTCAAATTCTTCAAATGTCATTATCATCACCATCATTAATTTCTCATTTCACACGACGTATTCTAATTTCACAATTTATTAATTTTTATACACGAACTAATTTAATTAATGCAGTTAATACAATTAGTAAAACTAATACAATTAAATCGAATAATGCATTGGCTTTTCCCGAATCTTTTAAAGCGGTGGTAGGTACAATTTTTTTTAAAAATTTCAAGAAATTTTTTTTTTAAAAAAAAAATTTAAATTGTTATCATTATTATTATGTCTTTAATTATTATAATTGTATATCTCTTTTAATCATTTGATATATTTTAGTTATAAAAAAAAAAAAAAACTAATTAATCAAAATAGCTTGTACTTTATTAAAACAATAAAAAAAAGGAATTATCACAAATAAGAGGATATGCAAGCAAAAAGAAGAAAAAAAGAGCACCATTTGTTCCTGCTAATGCGCTTCCCTTTCTTGATGCCGTGTCTGTGATTAAGGTAAATATAATATATTATTACTTTGTAAACAATTCATTTTATTTTATTTATGTTATTTATTTTATATTGTTAATAGGCAATGGAAGTAGGATGGCCAAATCATACATATGAAGTACATGTGAAATTAGGATTTGAAAAAGGAGTACAAAATGTTCGTGGTTCAGTCTCTTTCCCAAAATCAATGTCTACAACTGCTCATTTCTTGGTATTTACTAGAGTAAGTTATTCTAATTTTTAATTGAATTTAATTTATATTATTTTTTTTCTTGACGTTAATAATAAATGTAATAATATTATTAATAGGGAACAAAAGTTCAAGAAGCTTTGGATGCAGGAGCAACTGTAGTGGGTGGTGAAGAAATTGTAGCCGAAGTAAATTTAAAAATAATATCCAAATTATATAATTTCATTTTATTACCAATAATTTCATCAACAACTCAAATAAAAATAAATAAAAATAAATAAATAAATAAATAATATACTGTAGATACAACAAGGAACATTTAAATTTGGAGAAATTGACAGATGTCTAGCTACACCAGATATGCTTCCAGCAGTTTCAAAGATTGCCAGAATTTTAGGTCCCAAACAATTAATGCCTACATTAAAGAAAGGAACTGTAACAGATGATATTAAAGGTGCTATTAGAGAAATGGCTGGAAAATTTGAATTTAAAAATGATAAAGCTGGAATTATTCATGCGGGTTATTATTATTAATTTTGATATTAAAGCTATAACATCAATTAGTATTTATTCTGACAATTTATTATTATTTTATTATTATTATTATTATTATTCATTTATAGGAATTGGCAAGGTATGTAAAATTATAACATGATATAACAGAATTCATTGAACAATCTTTTTTTTTTTTTTGAGCAAATATTTATATGTATGTATATATTTATATATATAGTTATCCTGGACAGTAAATGAATTGAGAGGTAACTTTTATTTTCCTATATATTTTATATTTTATATTACTGGTCCAAATATATTAATAAAATATTGACAATAAAAATATTAATATGTTATCAAATAAATATTAGAAAACATACGGGTTCTTTTAAATGAAATAGATGAACAAGGAAAAGCTCATTTATCAAAATCAAAATCACGTCCCAAAAGTAATTATTATTATTATTATTATTATTATTATTATATATCGTATTTATAGTCCTTCGCTAATTTTATTTACTAAAAAAAAATTATATTTTTAATTTTAATAGGTATCATTAGTGAAGTTTGTTTAAATGCCACGAGAGCTCCAGGAATCTATATACTTGATTATAAAGATATAATGTCGGGTGAAAAATTAAAATTTATGGAATTAAATTATCAAGATTTAAGTCTGTATAAGTTGGATGATTTGGATAAAAATAATCTGAATAATATTAATATTGATAAAAGTATGGGAATCAATTAAAAGATCTTTTTTTTGTAGATATTTTATTTAATTTATTTTGTTTATTTTATTTTAATTGATAACTAGTATCTAATAAATTAATATTTATTATATATAGAATGATAGTATTTGACCATAAAATTGATAATATAACAATTGAAATAGATGTTGAGATAACAGATAAAGAATAATTTAATTTTATTGTTAAAAGTATTTCAAATCATTTATAATTTATATCTGATATATTAGTAAAAAAAAAGACTTCCAGAAAATAACTGATTGTGTTGAAATAACGCGCAAAAGAAAAGCTCGAGAAATCTTTTAATAATTAGAAAATATAATCATTTGTAGGATAGATATTTGAACGAATAGAGTTTAGTCTGAAACGGTAATGAACTCTTGGTTCGACGCTTAGAATTCCTGGTCTAACAAGGATTGAGTTCTTAGTTCGAAGATTCTTTTGTTATATATTGCTTATAGTAAAATGTTGATTTTAATCGATAAAGAATTTAAACAGGATTGTGGATATTTCAAGGTTGAGCATCTGCAGGTAAAGCGTTTGAACAAACATGTAACTGGAAATGACATGACAATTGATGTCAAAACATCATCGAGATGTGAATGAAAATACAAATACCAAAGGAGTTATGACTTCTCTAACAAAAAGGTGAGGCCACAAAATAATTTATTAAAGTTGTTCAGATAATAAATAATACATTAACATGACATGTAGAATATTCTAGAACAAAATGGTTAATTCAAGGAGAAATAAAAATGATGTTTTATGTCAAGATGAAAATGCTACAATTCTATACGAGCAGTCATTCGGAGCTGTAGAGTTTGATTCAGCGCATTATATGAGATATGACAAAATTAAAAAGTAATTATGAGTAGATAATCTAAATTATCAGTATAAAATTCATCCGTAACAACATCGAAATTCATCAATATTCATGGACTCAGTAGGTGTTTCTTTTCTTGTTTGGTATGAATAAATTTTTTGCGACAAGACTGACTTTATATTTTTAAAATATTCCATATTAATATACCTCACGGACCTTATTAATAGTAGAACTTATAGATTTATGAGATATACACTAACATCCGATGGTTGTTTGTTGTTTACTTGACGCACATATGTATTTCATTTACTATTACTTATTACGAGTTTTATTCATTATTATAGAAATTATTCATTGAGCGACAATTTATGAAATGAAAATGTTTTATTTTTTGGTAAATAATAATTATGTAATGTATCAATTAAATTTTATTATTATTTATTATCTGGTAATCCGTTTTTTGGAATTCTTGAATTTTTTTTTTTTAAAAATGTAAAATTTCTTCATGAGTAGGTTTATAGTAACCATTTCTAATTTTAGAAATGTTTGAAAACAAGAAATACATTCATTATATATCATTATCATTATAAAGACAAGTTTTTAAAAAACATACTTTGGACATCTATTTAAATGAAGCGAAAAAATATTTAGTACCTGGTACAGAATTCACTCAGATATCTCTTCTATATATAAGAAAATAAACATCAGAATTTTACTAATTGAAATGGATTAGGTAATCGTAATATATATTCTCTTAGGAAACGATCTGCTAAAGACACGAAATCTCGTACCACCTTAACAAACTCAAATTTAATTTAATGATTTCATTCAAAACAAATAAATACCAAAAATAATAAAATATATAAAATTCATAGTAAGCAATAATAGTAATAATGTAACTTTATTATGTAATGAATATAGATTACAAAAATTGATGACTAATAAAGGAAATTATGACTTGTCTAAAAAAAGATTGATTATTTTTATATTAAATGGTTTATTTTTTTCGATCCTTCAAAAATTCTTTTTTTTTTTTTAAAAAAAAAAACCACATAATTAAACTACGTAATAAACTATTTAATACAATAATAATAAATTATTAAAATAAAGGAAAAATGTTTACCGGAATAGTAGAACACATGGGAATAGTAATAGAAATTCAACAATTAGACAATTCTGTTACAGGTGGAGGTGGTTGGTCAATGAAAGTTGCTGAAGCTGAACCTATACTCGTTGATTGTAGACTTGGTGATAGTATTAGTGTTAATGGTTTGTAATAATAATATTATTTTTATTTCATTTAATTTTATTTTATTCTATTTATTTTATTTATTATATTTTCTTTCTCTCTTCAAAAAAAAAAAAAAAAAATTATCATAGGCACTTGTTTGACTGTAACTGATTTTGATAAAACGTGGTTCAAAGTTGGACTCGCTCCCGAAACACTTAGAAGAACCAATTTAGGTAAAAATTTATTATTATTATTTCTGTAATATTTTTTAAAATATCAAATTTAATAATGATTTATTATACGATATGATTATAATTATCTAGGTGATTTAAAAATTGGCATGAAAGTAAATTTGGAAAGAGCTCTTGCAGCTAATGTTAGATTTGGTGGACATTTTGTACAGGTAATTTTTTCTAAATTTATATTTAAAATATATTTTTAAAAATAAATAAATATAAATAAATATAGATAATAAAACATATTAAAAATAAATAAATAATAAAACATATTAAAATAGGGACACATTGATACAACAGCAATAATCAAATCAATGACACCAGAAAAAAATTCCTTATGGATTAAATTATCACTTTCAGATCCATCATATCTTCGTTATATTATTCCTAAAGGTTATATCTGTTTGGATGGAACTTCTTTAACTATATGTGAAGTAAATGATAAAGAAAAATGGTTTACTGTGATGTTAGTGGCTTACACTCAATCTCATGTTATTATGCCAACTAAAAAAGTTGATGATAAAGTTAATATTGAAGTTGATATGTTGGGTAAATATGTTGAAAAAATTGTTGAACCTATGATTTTTGGAAATAATTATTACGGTGAACAATGTGATGGACAAGGTGAAGGATATATTGAAAAATTAATAAAGAAATATTTGGATGATAAAGTAATTAAAATATTAGATGAAAAATTAAAATCAGAATAATAAAATAATTAGATTAATTGATTTTGATTTTTTATAAATTATTTATTATAAAATTTATTCGAATTATTAATTTATTTTTTTTTCTTGAAAATTAAGAATAATAAATATTACAAAATAATAATAATAAATATTACAAAATAATAATAATAATAAATATTACAAAATAATAATAATAAATTTTCCCAAATTTCAAATTCAAAATTTTATTTGTAAAAATAATTATGACAACTATTACTTTAATATCTCTTTAATAATATTTCTTTTTATATATTTTTATATATAAAAAAGATTATCATCATAATCATCATTATTATTATTATACTACACGTTTGACTTCAAAGAATCTTTTCAAATAAGTCACTTGCCAAGCGCAAACTGCAATAAGAACAATAAATTGAAAAAATGACCAATATTTAACACGATCATTTGTACTTTCGGCAGCTAAATGAATTATTAATTTGTTAAAATTTATTAATTCGATAAATAATAATAAAAATGACGTAAAGAAAATATTTAAAATATTTAAATACGTACTATCTCGGTGTGTACGTTCTCTCATCACTATATATTCTTGTTCATCCTTAATAGCAGCAAGACCATCTGCAAGTTCTCGAATTTCTTTTTCTAAAGGATCAGAATGTGCTACTCAAAAATATTTAAATATACATATATTTAATTTCTTTTCTTTTTTTTTTTAATAGAATAAAATAAAAATAAAAATAAAATAAAATAAAAATAAAATAAAAATAAAATAAAATAGAAAAACTTACATCCATCATCTGGAACATAAATAATTCCATGAACATTAAAACTAACTTCTTTTTCAGTAACTGTAGACATCTCATTACTAAAACAATAAGTGTATCTTCCTTCGAATTCTGCATTTATACTAAATGTTCCAGTGGTTTGTCTCACACTTGATTCCATAAGACGATCTGATGGATCATACATCTATAAAAATAATTTGTGAATAAATATATTATTTAAAAGAATTTCGAATGAATTTCCATAATCTTTTTATAATCTTTTTTACATTAATTTTTAATTATTCAACCATTAAAAAAAATTAATAAATTATACCATGTAATCTATATCCAAATGTCCACCACCATCAACTTGAAAAGTTACGGTCATCTTATCACCTTTATGTAACTCTTCAAAAAAACATTCTCTTGAATTAGGTAGAACTGTTATCGTATGAGCAGCTGAATTACATATTGCAACTGATAATAAAAGAGTAATAATAATGGAAACTGTGTAAGAAAAAGAATGCATCGTTTAATTATATTTCGTTTATGAATTTATTTAATTTTTATATATATTTTTATGAATGAGGTCACAAAATATCTGTAATTATCCTATTGGCTAGGACCATCTTTAAAGAATAATTTTTAAAGTTTCTCTTCTTTAAGTATACCTTCTTATATTATAACCTTTTTCATAACCCTTTCTAATCTCGATCCCACTTTATCGTTACCTCCAATTAAATATTTGCTCCAAAAAAAATTTTTTTTTGAAATATATATTTAATAAGAATTTTTTTATTATAACCAAACAATAATTGAAAGCATTCCACGTGACTCCATATGATTGTCATACTTTTGTAGCTTACAAATATATATTGAAACTTTACAAATTTATGAAAAAAGGCAATTATAAACAACTTTAATTAATAAAAATTTTGATAAAATTTTGTGTTATTTACATTTTAAAAAAGTTTTTTTTTTTTCAATTCTGTCTCTTAGTTCACATGTCGAAATAAACAATTTCTCTTTTTTTTTTATATATAAAACCAATTTCTCTATTTTTTTTATATAAATAATTTCTTTATATTTTATATATTTTATATATACAACAAAAAAAAATTATTAAAATTAAAAATTAAAAGATTTACAGATGGCATTTTTATATTTTTTTAAAATTACATAACTCCCTAAAATTGATACCAGTTATGTAATATTTTTTATAACTTAAATAAAAATAGATATTATTATACAAACTTTAATTATAACTTCATACAAATTCTTGACATTTTTATTTTTTTTATAAGATAATTATGTAATATTTTTTCTGTTCTCAAATATTTGAGATGTCAAAAATAATTTGAGATGCCAAAAATAATTTGGGATTTGAAACTTTTTAACCTTTGGATTCCAAATAATTTTGGCATATTTTAGTAACCATAATATCATAATAATTTGAAATTTAAGTAGCAGATATATGGTAAACAATTGGTGAAGTTTATATAAGTAACTTGATTCAAGTATTTTTGCAATATATATATGCATATTTTGATTATACAAAAATCAAATCATGTAATAGATTTATAAAGTTAGGAATTGATTAGAGAATGTTAGTGACAATCACCAGTGGTGAGTTTTAATGATATCCAATATTATTTTATTATTTAACATGAAAAACTGTTTTCCTTTATCAAACAAAAATTTACTTATATGACATAGATATTCAATTTAACAAGAAATAAATTAGGTTAATAAGACAAGCAATTATTAAATATAAATATAACTGCACTGTAACTTGTATCTGCATCACCAATAAATATAGCTCATTTAATTTTTGTGAACTTGAAATTATATTGGACTACTAAACGAGCAATTATATTACTGTTCTGTAATTATATTGCATCCTATTGAGACTTTCAATAAATATAACTCATTTGATTTTTGTGAATTGTACTTTTTCTTCTAGGATGTTGTTGAATAGAAGTATTATTTTTGCTACAGTTGTCTTGATATTTTTTTTTTCATCACAAGTAGCTTCTGAAAGATGCCAAACCATCACCAGGACACATCAACACATTAAAACAATTTATCCCGATTATCCAAAACCCTTTACCACTATCACAACATCTACATGTATAGCCCAATTTAAAACTATTATTACTGCCACCACTACTGTTACTGTTTTCACTTCCACCACTTACATGAAAAAAACAGCGCAAGAAATACTGACATTAAAAAAGAGGAAAGTTAGAAAAGTTATCTACATTCCTAATAAAAAATATATTACCTTTTGTAAACATGAAAAATGTATAAGGGTCTTCTATTGTACTCTAACTGTTATTTTAGAATGCCCACCAGTTCGAACCAAAATATATACTGTTTTTACGTGGGCTACTTCCCTTTTCACAACAACAACAATTACTACTACTACTATTTCCACCATTTTCACTTCCTTCTGTTCCTCTGCATGTGTTCAGACAAGTGAAACATGTAGTGAAGGTCCATTTAACTTTCTTTGTTAATACTGTAATGGTTTAACTTGTACTCTGATAATAGATCATTTTCAATGTATCCCTACTCAAACCCCTTAAAGTTTTATTTTTTTTTGTTATTTTAAGCACGTAAATAAGTGTTCTTTTATTTTTTAATTTGATGCATATGTAAAATTTTGTATAAATCTTGAGCTTTATAACAGTAGAATGTATACATTGCTTTTCAATAAACTTATTTATATTCCAATAAACTCATTTATTAATCTAATAAACTTATTTGTTATTCCAATAATAAAAAGTTTGAAAATTGTGTAAGTTTTATAAATGTCATAGGTAGAATTGTACTAGCATGCCATTGAGTTTATTCTTTGTATTGATAGTTCCAAAGTGAAAAATGAAAAATTATTATTTTCTGGTTGATAATTCTTTTCTAAGTTTTCGATCAATTTTATCATGTTTTTCATATATTTATTGTTATAATTCAATTATGTTAAATTTTTATTATTATATTAGTTAGAAAAAAAATAGATCCTATAGGTAAAATTTATTTTCTTGTTTGAAAAAGTTACTGCATTTTGATAACTTGTTAATAAATTTGAAATTGTCACCTCACATTCACACTCTTGATATAGTTAACATATTTTGGTAATATAACAATTTACATATCTTCTATAAAGACAAAAATTCAATTACCTCTGTCAATTGTCACAAATAGTTATTTATCTATTTATAAGTCATAAAGTCTATATTTCATATATTTCTATAATATAATATAAAGAGCTATAACTGAATATTATTATTAGGTCAATTAAAATAATAGTCAAAAAACTCTTTCTTTTAACTTAAGAATTGTTACTAAACTATCTTTTTTCTGTCCTAGTTTGAATATGTATATTTAAAAAAAATTTTCACATGGCTAAAAAAGATATTTTATTATAATTTTCTTTTTTTAAATTTTGCAACTGACCTCATGAAATGTGATCCAAGCAACAATAACAAAGAAAATAACCTAGATAGTTAAACTAAAAAATCTTGATGGTCTATATTTTGATATAGAATATAAATTAGAACTTGCAAAGCATATAGTTAATATTATTGAAAATTGCTAAAGCTTACCACTAGGCAGAATTAAATTTACATAAATAAAGTTATATTATAGGTCAAAAATGCTAAAACTACTAAATATATTATTCTATATAATTGAATAGGTAATAGATTCCAAAATCGACTTTTAGAAATAGAAATATAGTATATACTTAATTAATTTACATGTAATAATTATTTTTTACGTATATATTCGACAAACTCAGAGGATGACTCTATGAGATATAATAAATATTTTTTTACCTTTCTTTCAGGTCTTTAAGTAGAACAAAACTTCCTGAACTTGGTTCAGATAATGATCAGCAAAGAATTTTTTAAAATATACGAAAAATTACTAGTGCATGCTGTTATCTCTATTTTATTTTTAAATTTATTAATTATTTATTTATATGTTTATATATTTTATTATCTTATTTATTCATATCTG